CACCACGGCCGGACCCACGAGATAATCCGGTGATCCAGCTGAATTGATGCCAAAAATTTGGCTCTTAACGACAATCACGACGAGCCAGTTCCCAGCACCGTGGGTCTCAATCTGCCAATATGCGTCGGCCTACGAAATACTATAGTCTGACGAGACCGGTATGCTCAACCTTTGACCCCAATTGACCCGGGCTGGCTGTTCCACCCCGCGCGAGGTGAATTTCGCCTTGCTAACCGACACACCATATAGAAACTCAGGCAATCATGGAACAAGTACAATCTGTTTAACATCGCCCGTGCAGCCGGTCGTGAGCCCCAAGTCAACAGTCGAGCAACATTTTTCCAGCAGAAATGGGCAGCCAAGTCGAAAACCCGAGGTTATCACGGCGAGCATGTTTCCGAGAAGAAGTGGGTGCGGCTCTTTTCAAGACGTCTTCAATCCGCTGTCGATCTCCCTCCCGAATACCTAGCCGCCAACGATGGTTCCGAGCAGGCGGCTGGTCGTGGTTCAGGTCTGACGACATCCAATGTGACCGCCGAAACCTACTCCAGAGTTCCCAAAGGCAGTACAACTGTCCGAAGTCCTTCTCATCCTGCTCAGCGAGGCCGAGCTTTTGGAAATGTGAATGATATGCTCTCGGAGCATTTCCAGAACATGACACCTTATATGCAAATGACATTCGCGCCATTGGAGCGAAGATTGGATACCGCTGTTTTCCGTGCTATGTTTGCTAGCAGTGTACGACAAGCTCGTCAATTTATTATTCACGGAGCTGTCAAGGTCAACGGCAAGAAGGTTTGTTTCAATAAAAAACCTCCCATCACGGACTGCTCTAACATTTGACAGATGGTCCACCCATCGTACGCATTGAATCCTGGTGATATGTTCCAAGTTGAGGTTGAGAAAGTTTTGTATGGGACTGGAGAGCAAAAGACAGCTGAGTATACAACTATGGAAAGCCGTGAGAAGGAGATGCTCGACCAACAAGAAGAGTCAGTCAGAAAGCATGGGCTGAAGAAGCGATCCAAAGTCCTCGAGGCTGTTGCTAAGGAAGGAGAGGAAGCTGAGTCCGCTGATACAAAGGCTCCTGGAAAACACGCGCGCAAGCGTGTTGAGCGAGAGGTGCAGTTGCACCGTGTCAGAAACCTCCGAACAACCGCCAGAGAGATTCTCAAGGGTGACATGAGAAACCTCTCTGCTAAGCAGAAGAAAGATTTACGACTATTTCGTGACACTGCTCAGCGTTTCCTGTCTCTTCCTGAGGCTCGCGAACTTGACGCACGGGACCTACTCCGTCAGATTCAGGCTCAGATCACAAAGCTTGAGTCTGTCGATACATTCCGAAAGGCTGACTCAACACTGGCTAAAGCAGCCAACGCTGAGGGTTCAGCTGAAGCATCGGCTGAGGAGTCCGCTGAACCACAAGCTGAGAAATCAGATTCTAAATTAAGTAAGGAGGAGAGAGAGGCGAAGAAGTTGCAATTCAAGAACAACGTCCTTGAGAAGGGTCTGGAGGGCATCACGAATAAGGCAGATCGCGACCGGGCTATGAATATTCTGGCCACTGAGAACTTGACCCATGAGGAGACCCGCCGCCTCATCAACATTCTCAGAAACGACTCCGAGAACCCTATCGATCCCTCTAAACCCTATGTTACTCCCTGGCGTCCTCGCCCATTCATGTCTGCCTTTGCCTTCATCCCTCGCTACCTTGAGGTTAACCCCAACATCTGTGCTGCGGTCTACCTGCGTCATCCTGTCGCAAGAAAGGGTATGGCTGAGGTGCCCACGCCTTTCAGCTATTTGACCAACCAGCTGGCCCACAACTGGTACTTGGGACGAGGTTAATGAAAAGAAATAGGTGGTTTTTGGAATTGGGAAGAAATTTGGCTAGGCGGATGGGATGCCTGTGTAATATACCACCTTCTAGAGTGTACGGTAGATAACCGGATGTACCTTGTATGTATCACCACCGTTAAAAGCATAACAAGTCTGGATAGCACGTTATTTTCCTGCCATTAGAAACAGTGCTAAGCGTGCAATTAAGTCCATACATATTGATACTTATACGAAATTATGATTTGGGTCCTTGTATAAAGTAGGTAGCTAGTAATGTTAGCTTTGGGAGCATGTAAAAGAAATGGGTTGTAGGTGATTAATAAGGTTTGGAACGATCACATATAATCTCCGCAACATGAGAGAACTCCGCGCGCCTCATCTGCTGTGTAACTCGAGTACGGAGTACATGGGCGGGCAACTCGGCTGGTAAATGGCTTGAGGAGTCATCAACCGGATATTAGATTCCTAGACTCAAGCCACCAACAACGGAGGACCTATTGGTGCAGAGGATGGCAGCTTTGACGTTACTGTTGATGGCTGGATTTATACTGGTTTAAAGTTTGGAGGCTATCTTGGACATGCTCTAACAAAGGGATTGTCAGGGGCTTGATACGGCTGCTCTCCGTTCTTTTTCTAGTCAACCGGTATCACACTGAGAAGGTGACTGAGAGAACAAGTGCATATGTATTTGGGTATACCTAGTCTGAACGAACAAGTCAAAGCGTATGCCTCAAGCTGATAAGGTGCAGCTGAGCCGCCAGTCCGCTTGATTGGAGTAGACATGCAGTACAAGGCAGTACATGGCCAACTCGTTCCTTCAAGGCGCCACAAGAAGCACGGATGGGGTTACTGGGTACCACGTCCGTGGATAAGAATGCAGCTCAAGTCCCGGCCCAATAGAGAATCTAGACCTGTTGATTGCCGTTCTGTAGCCAATCTGAGGACTCTCCTGAGAGCTTATCAGGACGGCCTGCCTAAGTCGCACAGCCGCTATCAGAGACCCTGGAGCCCCGGGCCGCTACTGTACAAAGGGTGAGGAGCCACATCCTTGACTGGCCGATCTCAAGTGGGGGATTATGCGGGAAAGATGTCGATTATCTCTGTTGAGAATATTATCCCATCCCATGTGATAGACAGCTGGTGTTTTAACCTTAGGGAAATAAGCTATCCGGGCTGTCTTCATTCCCTCCAAAAGCCGAATATTCAGACTATACCGAAATAGTATCAGACCCAGGTCCAGACAATGTTCAATTTAGAGTGGCTAGTCTAGGAGAGACAACTTACATAACGCCTCTCTCTGAGTCGCCAGAACTCACGGGGAGGCGGGACCCTCCACGTTGGGTTCTTGCCTCCACTCAATTCCTTGACTAACGTCCGTCACCCAAAGACTGGCCACCCCCACAGACCGGCCACCCCGACCAAAACACCAAGAACCGGATATCATGATCAATTAACTAATTATCTCAACACCACATTTTTTATATTAAATAAAAATTTAGTCAGTGAATATTTAGATGAAACTGAGTACAAAGGTCCTCAAGTTTTAAT